GAAAACACTCTCTCGGTCATTAGATATGGTGTGCACAAATGTCAAGTCAATCCCAATGGAGTTTTTTTTTTGAGTTTTGTGTACACAAACATACGGAAGCTAAATGTTTATATGTAAAGATGATACGAAACTAGTAGAAAGGCTACGGCGAATGAGGGCTGCACGGTGTTGACTTGCGTCATTCTCTTAACGCATGTGATGAATGAAATCAATTAAGCATGGAGCTTATGAAACTAACCTCTACATTAATGTCATGGTCAGAATTCAATACCAGTTAGTCTCCAACTGAAACCGGTCACCACACCTTAATACGGGCATCGGAATATAATCTGAATATATGAATAGCGTCGGACGACGTCGCAACGTAGTCAAACTGATTCGTTACAGTAAAGTAAGCAAATTCTAGTACGTTATTTATTTCCGCGTACTGTCTTGAGCTTAGGCCATTGTTAGTGTTTTCATGGATGTTTTGAAGAGACCGTTCATAATCAAAACCCTCAAGTTGCCAAAACAACACCTTAAGTTGAAATACCTGGTGCCAGTGAAAGTTGATTTAATAATTACAATCTCACTTGCTGAGCTGCTACAACATCTAAAATCCCCAGCCTCGTCAGCTCGTTTTTATCGTTGCCTCCTTTGTTTATATTATGTGTTTTTTTGTAACTTAAAGGATTTAAAAAAGGGACTGGCGACTTCATGCATACTTATTGAGGAGCCACGAAACGGTATTTTCCCGACTCATTTAACATCAGTCTGGTGCTTTCTGCTGTTCCATAGTTGTGTATTCAACGAGGAATTTTTCTAGTTCTGTGAGTGAGCAGCTTTCACTGATCCATAACTCATCCAAGGATGGATTTTATGGGCCCAAAGCAACACACACGAAAACTAAAGAAGAATTTAGAAAAAGAATTGAACAATTTGTTCGCATCTTTCCATATGAATATAACGTATCTTAATGGAACAGTGAATAGGATTTTTACCAACTATGACATAATAGGCTATTACTTATCTACTAACACGGCTGTGTTTCTACTAACACGCATCAGGCAGCTAAGCAGTAATGCACTAGGCAGCCTCTAGCACAAAAATTTTATTTAGCTTTTCGTCTCGTGGTACAAAAATCTTTAAGGCAACGCATCTGCATCCTTTCGTGCTGTGTATGTCTAAGAGCAACGTCCATCACATTCAGCCTTCTCTCGTGTAAAGTGTAACGTCTCATTTTATCGCTGTCTTCGTGGCCGCACACGGCCGGGGATCTCCGCGCCCATAAATCGGCGGGCACACGACGCAAATGATCTTATGAATGGCGTTTATTGCGGATTACAACGCCTTCTATCGAAGTGTATTGTGAAAAGCACCCGCATACGTGCTATGCGCGTTTCGCCGGTTTGATCGCTGTTTAATCGTTTGTAGGGAGGGTTTAAAACCATCCGTTGGGTTCAATGACTTTTCTTTCTTCTGTCCTTATCCCACAAACTGTGGGGTCGGCACAGCATGATGTTCCCAACCAAGTTGCTACTACTTGCTACCATCTTTGCTATACCAATAGTCATTTCTTTCACAGAAATATCATTCTTCGCATAGTCCATCCAAACGTCTCTCGGTGTCCAACTAGCCTTACAGCACATTAAGCGACGATTCAGGGTAAAAAACTCATCCTTGATCAGTATCAACCCTCAGTCGGTGCCGATGGGTCGCAGCTAAGCCCCCAAAAATGGCGTTCGGCACGTATGGTAGTGGCAACTGACATATTTGGTGACGCACCATCGCTTAATGGTTGCCTTATTGTCGTCCGCCTTCTCGATTTCGAATAAGTGAGCTTTTAAGTGTTCCCGTGCGAGTTCCTACGTTTACGCGAGGGTACTCTTTTAGTTTTGTAAGCGCCAATTTTGCGTGATTCGTACCATATTGATTTCTTGCTTTTACGCGAATTTTATACATGGTTAAATGAAACTGATTTATATTTAGATTTTTAAATTCGCCGTACCTTTACCAATCCGATAGCCCGGGTTAGCTCTGATATTAGGACGTCACCATGAACGTTGAAAAACATGCAAAACGTCAAGAATAAAAAATCAAATTAAACCTCGAATAGTTACATTTAACCATGATTCGTACCATTTTCGCGCACCTACGCCTGAACGTTTGTAGCGTTTGATCCAAAAAAAATCATGAAATAATTACTAAAATTATTTTTATTATAGCAACCCAGAGGTGAGTGCAGTATTAGATACGTGTCGTAAAATTTTTATGCATGTTTTTTTAAAACACTAAATAAATTTTAATTAGTACTGATTGAATTGATAACAATGTTTTGTTATGAATTCAACGACTCTATTAAGTAAGCTACTATAAATAAGGAAAATTTGCTATTACTTATTTTCGCTAAGATAATGGTAAATAACCGGCTAGACCGGAAATTTATTTTATGATTTCGCAGAATTCTCGTATAATTTTTTCATGCTTTTGGGTTTTGCCCGATGTGTGAGGTAAGCACGTACATCCCCTTACGTACTTACTAGGAAGTACCACTTGCGTGAATTTAATTTAAGAGTCGATATCGCTTTAGTGAAGAAAGGCTTATAAAGAGTAAGCTTTTGCTCAGTGGGATATATTATGTGGCCTTATCATTACGGGACAACTTTGTTTTATACTATAAAACAAAGTCCTCCCGCTTGTCTGCCTGTCCCTATGTATGCTTGGATCGTTTAAACAACGCAACGGATCCTAATGCAATTTTTTTTACTAGATAAAGTGATTCAAGGGGAAGGTTTATATATATAATACATACACCCTTGCGAAGCCGGGGTAGGTCGCTAGTATATTATTTTAAAACATTCACTGCTGATTGGCGGACTTCACATATCTTCGAAATATTTCTTTTTATTATGTTTTAGAAAATATTCAGGTTTCCTCACGATGTTTTCCTTCACAGCGAAGCACTTGATAAGTCAGCACTTAAAATTAACATTTGCTTTGGTGCCGGCACCGGGGATTGAACTCGGTTTCTTCGAGTACTTTGAATTAAAGGCGAGCGCCCGGTCAAGGAGCTATCACGTCTCCTAAAGAAAGGCTTATTGAGAATAAAATTTATATTACTGGTAGTAAACCATAATTCACATCACATCACGTTACTAAATGAATCTATGTGATTAACAATGCCTCAGTCTGTCCTGTGGCCATGAGCACTGTGAAGGGTTCGAAACGTCGGAGATTAAAACCAAAAATAAACGCGATAAATCCGTAAAAATTGTTTAATTTAGTACTGTGAAATCGCGGAAATACAATAACTCACGTCACTTTATTAAAACCTGTAAAAGTTGCCTACATAAAAGATTAAAAGAAAAATCTACTTTTGGTAGATCCTTCTTTTAATCTTTTATGCACACTTTTGGTAGTCCGCTAGTGTTATTTTACATTTCAGTTACGCAGTTCGGATGATTTATTTAGAATAAATAAACTAAGAGGGAGGACTTTGTGTTTTTTTTTGAACTTGTAGTTCCAAAAAAGCCTAACTAGACAACAAAGACACTTGCAGATGAATTAATATCTCATTATCCTGATCACGTTTTATATTTTCATGCAATATTTCCTAATCTGTGCAATCATACTCGCATGTTACCACCATCTATTAATATTTAAAAGTTAACAGAAAAATATATGCACACAATACGAAGCTAGCGAAACCAATCTCAGACTATAATGTAAGAATCTAAAAAAAAGTCATGATATTCAAAAATTATCCACGACCACAGACAATAAATTATTGTATACGGAATTAAAAGACGAGGTTCATAAAATTTTCAATCGGACGCCAACCTCAAACCGGAATCCCTTAATTATTTATTTCTGTTACTAATATCGTACATATGATACAACATTATGATAACCTAACCTAATTAAAACTAAATAGGTAACTAAAAATTAACATAACTATTATATAAATATGCTTACTTAAAAACTAAACTACTTATTTAAAAAAAAAAACTAAACTAGAATCCCTCTTAACGATGGCGAATAATGAACTTAACTTCATATTTAACATATTTCTATGCACGTAATTTTCCTATTCTAATTGTCTGGTAAGCCATTAATTAGCCGAGTACGCCCGAAAACAACGAATTTAGTGCACAAAAAAGGCCGAGTTGTAACAGAGATAATGTTAAAAGGCGAATTAATTGAGATGGCCCCGTTTTAATATCATATAAACATATCAATTCGAACCTTGGTCTAGACAACAAAGAACCAGGGGGTCTAGCGAGTAGCGTCTATAACCCCGGACAGGTGAGAAGGTTCGATGACCGTCTGGCGGCGTTCACACAACATCCGCCCCTAACGTCTGCATGATTTGTGCGACATTCGCCTGCCGACGATTTAGTCACTATTCGATACGATCGCTTAATTCTAGAGCAACTCAGTTTGTAAGGTTAATTACATAGCATTTCATTATCATTTTCAAATTATTTATATTAATGTTGTATTTATAATTCACCGAGACTCCTTTATAGCCGGTAATTGCTTTTTTTATCGTATACCATGTCTGTTGTATTCAATGTTACCATGAACGCCAGTGAAACGCTTTCAAAATATGCATAGTTTCCTATTGAACCCAATGATATTATTATTAGAGTATTGGAAATAAGGAAGAAGGAATTAATTATTTTATGGCAGAACAACAATACACTACACCCAGCTTTGCATAGCTGAGGAAACCTGTAGAAAAGTAGCCGGTACATACCGGGTTTACGTGAGTTCAGCTGTCTTTCATTATTTATATTATTCTTGTCATTATTACGTTAATAATATCTCACGAAAGTTTTAATAATTTTAAAGTAGGTTTTGTTACGTTACTAAACAGACGGAATCAAAAAGCTAGTGTTAAAACCAAAGTCAGAACCCATTAAAACCCAGTCGAACCCAGTAAAAAAAATAGTACAACAAAATTAGACTTGGTATAACCCTTAAGTAACAATACTTTTGCGATGGTCTTCTGAGAGGCGATGGTACTTGCCGTGACGAGCCTGGCCGTTGTACCAGCAAGTGCTGCCACGAGGCAGCACCACAGCAAGCCATGCAAGTCCTGCATATACCGTCCGAAACGTAACCTAAAGGATACCGAAAGGTCGGAGACTCCTCGCTTGTGCTAAAATTGGCCCCAACAAGTCGGGGCGGAATAACGGCCAATCGAGCCTCCGGTCATGGCTGGTGAAAAAGAAAAAGGCAGACGCTGCAACCACACTCCTCGTTTTGCTCCTGTCTTCCGCACAAAGGAGCATCCGGATAGTCGCAGACTTTGTGTTTCAAACGGAAGACAATTTAATCCCGCCACCCCATCGGTTGGGGCGCGCGGGAGGGGAGGGGGGAGCGAGCGAGACGGAACACCCCGCCCGCGCCCTCTCTTTTTTTAATGCGGACAACTAAAGATTAGAAACGTCTCCCGCCGTCTGTGCCGATAGCATCCGTGAATAAGTACGTACACAAATGAAGGATTTTGTTTTGCTCGAATAAATCTTTCCCATTTTACGCGATTGTCTTTTATCCTGGATGAAGGTAGCGCCAACCGATATAATAGGACTCTGAGATTAATCTACACTAATATGGAAATAAAGCAGATTTGTTTTTTTGTTTATATATTACTAGCGACCCGCCCCGGCTTCGCGCGGGTGCAATGTATTATACATATAAACCTTACTCTCGAATGACTCTCTAATAAAAAAAAACACATCTAGATCCGTTGCGCAGTATTAAAGTTCTAAGCGTGCATAGGGACAGACAGACAGTGGGACGACTTTGTTTTATACTATGAAGTGATGAATAGTTAATTATATTAATTGAAAGGGCAAATCACAAATATTTGTTTAAACCCCGAAACGAAAAAGTTATTTCAACGAATTTTTTTTATTGTGTATTAAATTTTATAGATACATATTATAATATAATATTATGTTCTGTTAATTTAACCAATTTTAAATATAATACATGCAATATCCACACGGATGGCTCATTGGTTTGTTAGCTCACCATATATACTGTCATATACTTGACTTCGCTTAGATCCCCGCTTAGGGATTTCTCCCATCCACAGTATAGTTTTTCCGAGGTTTTTTGTATGTTAGACAATGGCAAGCGCGCTGGCGGTCCATCTGATATCAAGTGATAACCGCGACCCGTGGACATTTGCAACAGCTGTAAAATTGCAGATGCGTTGCCACCCTTCAATAAAGTAGGCCCCGGCTACCTCACTCACCAGACGAAACGTAGAAATGTAAAACTTCCACTTAACTTCAAAAATAAAATTTTACAATAAAAAATTGTTCATCTTGAGTGCAGAGACGAGCACTAATAATAAAAATAATCATAAAAACTACTTTTTGTTGATAGATTCGTTTTGCATAATAGTATCGAGCGTATAGGGTTTGCTCCGCCGCTCACCATCGGACCATTTTAATAACGTTTAACGACGCGAGCTATAAATTTTATGCTTCTATAAAAACTTTTTTATTCCAAATTAAACCTGCAAATTTAAGCGTGGGGATAAAAATAGTTCGCCACCCGCCAGTCGCTGGGTACTATTCCGCCGTTCCCTCTGTTAGTTTAACTCGTAATTATAGTAATATTTGTAGAAAAATTACGAAAAGATTGTCGCTCTGGGAAACGAACCCACGTCTTAGGCATTCGGTTCGATTACCGCAGCGGCGACAATCTTTACGTGCTTTTTCTACAAATTGTAATGTTCAATCTTAAGTGCAGAGATTAGCACTGGAGAAAATTTAAAATTCGTAATAACAGATTCGAAACAGCGGCGGCTTTGTTGAAACTCGGAGTCGCAACTAAAATTAAAGTATTAAGCGAGGTGAAGGTAAATTGGTAACTAAACTAAAACTATTGTCAACTACGAAACAGGAGGAGATCCTCACTACGTTTTTAGTTTTTGACGTTTTTCACCTAAGAATTACGGCGTTTCGAGAAGGATTTTAAAAATTCTTTTTCCATTTGATTCAGTTTAGTTCCCGTATTAGTTTTATTAGTAACACCTTACTAATAAAACTACTCCGGAGTTACATCAGGTAAGTCTAAATCAAATAGGAAATGTTAGATCATTTCGGTTTATCATATCATATCATTTCATTACGTTTATCTAATGCATTTTCATACGGAAACTTACTATGAACAACATACTTAGAATGGAAATTATGTTGACATATAACTTTTAAGCTGTGCAAAGATATAATTGCACTTTTTACGTACTTATTTATTTAATGCACTTTCTAATGTTTGCTCCTAGTCAAATGTAGTACAGTCGCGTTCATCAACAGCGGGTCTGCGTGCCCGACTGTACCGGCCGCCCGTCCCGTAGCGGATTCCGTTCGCCAACCTTCCAATCAAATTAACTACGCTCCGCCCGCGGCGCGGTCCGTCATTCGCAATGTATCGTAAAGCGCTTTATTGCTAAAAATGATCGCACAACGGTCGTAAATCCGCAATTTAATGCCGTCGAAATTGTGTCGCGTTTTTTTTTAATCGCGACTGTACTTTGGTCTGTCCAATGGGAGTACAGTCACGTTGGAAAGTATTACAACTTTGTTATAGTTAAGTGCAATTATGCAATACTCTGGTGCGATTTCGAATTTCCTTGGTATTTTGAATTCTTATTTCTATCTCTTTTTGGGGTGAAACGGTCTTATTTTCTAATATAAAAATAAACGTGTACGAACCAGGTATCGAATATACGCCTGAGATCTCCAATATTATGTGATAGGACCAAGCAGCAGTCCTCGCTGCTGCACGAATGGGCAGGTCCGTCCGGGAAAGTACCACGACCCCACAGAAGACCAGTTTGAAGTGGAAGTATTATTTAAAGGTAGTAACGCATCTGCAACAGAACGGGTTCTGCAAATGCCAATGGGCGGTGGTTATCACTTAACATCAGGTGAAAAAGCAGCTCGTTTGCTACCTTTTCACATAAAAAAAAGATATCCGCCAAGCTCTATGTACTCCTGGTACTCAAATGTACACCCGCTACAGATATATCATATAAATGACTCCGCCGTTATTCAATGTAACTGCTTAGTCTTATTGACTACTAGGGGTGTAATGTATTATACATATAAACCTTCCTCTTGAATCACTCTATGTAGTAAAAAAAACCGCATCAAGATCCGTTGCGTAGTTTTAAAGATCTAAGCATACATAGGGACAGACAGACAGCGGAATGACTTTGTTTTATACTATGTAGTGATGCAGAGGTAAATCACGCATAATATCTATCTGTTCCAAACTTGATCAAAACAATTGGCCAATGGCTAATAGCTTCCAAAATTCACTGACTGGCTCCGATTTCCTATTGCTGGGCACTTTCTCCCTACACTTTACAGACAATTCGCGCACATTTCATGCATTCGAAATACTTATTTCAAACGGCTTTCTGCCGCATTGAATGACTTAATGTTGCGGCACGTCTGAATGGCTCCATACATCGTCACTACATACGCAACGGATCTTGATGCGTTCTTTTGTACTAGATAGAGCGATTCAAGAGGAAGGTTTACGTGCATAACACATTCCGTGCAAACCCAGGACGGGTCGCTAGTTTTAATTACAACATAAAAATGGAGCAGAGCAAGGTGTACAAAATACAAGTTACAGTATGAAATCATTCGTATATAAAAGCAAGGAGGTATGCAAAGTTCCAAGTCATGATCTTTCACGAGTTTTTTAAGGAAAAAAGAGACTTGTCGAATATTTAGGCGTTAAGAATTGCATACAAGCACAGCTGTGACCATGAAAGAGTTCTCGGAGAGAGAGGAGGGATGTACAGACATTTTTAGGGAGAGGTTTACAGAATAACCCCTATTCCCATCAACGGACACTCCTATATAATTCACTACGAGATTCGATAAAATTTAAAACATTCTTCGTAATAATTTAAATTTTCATAGTGCTAATCTCTGCACGTAAGATTAATCATTAAAATGTGTAGAAAAAAGTACGAAAAGTTACTCGACGCTGTGGGAATCAAACCCACGTGTTCGTGATTCGCGCCCTGACGCTTTGAGCACTAACCTGATTTTACACAGTCACAACGTCTTTTATCTACTTACTTACAAACAGCGAAAAACTTTTCGTACTTTTTTCTACAAATTTTAATATTCTTCTTGTTCTTATGTAGATAGTTATAGGTTTCTTCGCAACAATTCCCTTAATTTTATTTAAGTAACAGGTCATAAACATAAATATAGATAGATAAATAATTTAGAAAACACCTAATACGCAAATATGTAACGCACTAAAAACTTAACACAAAATTCGCTAATCGTAGAGATAAAATATTCTTGGCTACATAATATATTTATTAATTCCCTAAATAATTAATTACCAACGATCATCCAACGGTAAAATCCAACTTATTGCAATTAACAGTTCTATATGAAGGTTGATAGCTCGAGTGTACTTAATTAACGCTGTCTACTACCTGGCTACAATGGACAGTACGTAGTATTAACAAAATACTAAACCCGAATTAAATTTCTTTGCATTAGCCACACCACGCTATTGACCTTATGCCTCATTAACGGAACTCGTTATACTGCTAATTACTTCTGAATAACTATTTAAATCTCGTAATGGAACATTATAACAGTGCAAAACCGTGGAATAACAAAGTCCTGTGTTAAAGGCAAGGATGAGCCCCCAAAACCTGACCAAGACTATCATCTAAGTCATGTAAATATTAGATATTTACCTATGAAATTGACATTAGGCAGTGAAATCGTCCATGTCAGAGTGTGTTGGGGGATTTGCACTATCTGAACATTATTTATTTATATATATATACAAAATAAAAGTATCTTACCATTTACCTGGTACTCAAGCTACAAGCTTTTCTAAATTTGGCTAGATAATGTTCATAGGCGTATATAATAGCATGGGGCCGATTTTGGGTTACTGATTCGAAATTCTAGGCTAGATAGCTAAGAAACTTCAAAAAAAAATAATTGAAATCAAATAACTATCGACAGCCGAGAAATCTATGTACATACTTAGTTTTTACTATATACTATTTTACAGTACATTCCATTGATTTACTTGTGCTAAGCACTTTACACAACGTACTAACTACTATTGAGTCAATACTACTATTATAAATTAATGAAAATTATTAACGATAGCGAACTGTTACTTTTATAATGCGACGCATAGTGTTCCATTTTTTGTGCGGTTAAGGTCCAGGCCCGCCCTGAAAAATAACCTTAGATACGCCAATGGTAATGTTGTGTTGCAAATCTTGTCCTCAAATATATCGTCTGCAGTCCAGCATACCAGGCTCTATGAAAAACTTAATGGAATATTACATTACATCTACCTGGTTAGCCGCTAATTTTATCGTAATCTATTGCTCTTCAAAAGAAAATAATTTA